CCCAGGGGGATAGCTTGAGGCTCCGTCTCAAAAAAAAAAAAAAAAAGAAAAAAGAGAAACAACAGGCTGTCGGGTGATGTGCTGAACATTTCAGTCTGTGACTGCCCATGAAGTATGGTAGCCCGGTGGGACTGTGATACAAGATTTTTACTGTGCCTTTTCCATGTTTAGGTATGTTTAGACACGTGCATCCTCACTACTGTGTTACGGCTGCCTATAAATACTCTGTACAGTAACATGCTGGTACTTCTGCTGTACAGGTTTGTAGCCTGGAGCAACAGGCTAGACCACAGAGCCCAGGGACAGGAGGCTATGTGTGTGTCTATGATGTTTGCACAAAGTAGTCTCAGGATGAATTTCTAGAATGCATGCCGTCGTTGAGCATCATGTGATTGTCAAAGCAGAGAGGGCAGATGGGAAGCTACTGCAATAATCCATTCAAGAGATGATGGTGGCTCAGAGAAGCAGAAGAGGTCAGATTTTAGATATATTTTGAAGGCAGAGTTAGTGGATTTCCTGGCAAATCAAATATGGGGATAAGACAAAAGGAGAGGTGGTGAAAGTGATACTGTGGCCATTTTGCCCCAGAAATGAAAAGAACTGGAAAGACATCAAGCAAGATAAAAAAGATTGCACCCCGGAGCACCTCCACATCCATGAGGTAACGCCACACCCTGGCCCACTGGCCTGCTTTGTGTCGTTCTCTCTCACTGGGCTAAAAATTTTAAATGGCCAGAAAAAAAGCTTCTAGCCCCATCACATGCTTTCTCTAGATCCCTATTTCTCACGAATCTTTGCTAAATAGCCATCCACCATGTTAATAATATCTATTCACACAGATGCCTTCACCATGTAAAAAAAGGGATAAGAATTTCATAAGAAGTTAAATTATACTCCCCCAAATATCTCAGAAATTGGCAGCATGTGTTTTTGCTATGTCTAAATTCCAACAAATTGGAAAGTTTTCTCCCGAAAGTGGCCAGGCTCTGGGGTGAGGGAGGAACGTCTTAGGTGGAAGTTCTTCCACCCCGGCATGGCCCATGAATATATTCAGTGTTAACCCCTGCATTAATCTGAAAACCACACTTACCAGTCATCATTCGTGATTCACTTACTCCACGTCCTGGACAGTCTCATACTGACAAGACACAGGCACGTTGAGAGAAGTCACAGAGAAAGGTGCCAGTCTCTCAAGGGTTATAAACACTCACGCACACAACACATATCCATGTTCACACCCAAACGCACACTATTATCTCTGATTCTCTATGGTGACAGCATTGGTGAGAATAGCTCTTCCTATGGCTTGTTGAAAGTTCACACATACCGACTGTCAAAAGCATCCCTAAATTGATGCTAAAGTCCTGCTCATACGTTAATGTACATGGCCTCCAATCCTATGGCGTCTCAATGGTGCCCTCCCCGCATTCAGATCACTACACGTGTTCACACATACCTGTTGCTTGTTCTCTTTGGAGTAGGGCAACATGGTGGAAACATGAAACATGATCTCGTGCCCTTGGTACACAGTATAAACTGAGTGTATCCCTGTGGTGTCATCTGTAAAAGACAAATATGCATTTAGTGAACAGAGAGAATTCTGAGCCTGTAAGGAAACAGTTTGGGTTTGCAGACGAGAGAAACAGTACACAGTACATCCCCAAAGGTCGTTCTGGATCATCCAACTGCGAGGGAGCATCAACTCTCCACTCGCTGTGAGACTCCTGCCCTCGTGGCAAGACTTCTCCCTCTCCCTAAGCTTGCTGTCTGATTCACGCCTTGCCTCAGAACAGAGGGGGCATGAGAAGTCTGGCTTAAAGAGGGCAGCATGTTACAATTCCTCGCCTGCCAGTTGCTGTGTGCAAACAGGATGAAATTACTACAGATGACATATCGGTATTATGTCCATAAACCAAAAGGAAGTGGCATTTCTGGCAACACTCTATAGTGATTAAAAGCATGGACTTTAGAATTAGGCAGACTTGAATTTAAGTTCTCATTGGTTTTGTTACTTTTGACAAGTTATCTTACCTCTAAGTCTCAGTTCCTTAATTTGAAAATGGAGGAAAAATAGTATCTCTGTTCTAGGGATGTTGGGAAGACTCAATGAGGTCATACCGTAGAACCTCTGTTGGTTGACCACCCCAGAGACTGTAACTGGTCAACACATGGAGGTGGTCAACATAAGGAGCTTCTGTTGAGTGCCTGTGGTTCATGTCTGGTCTGTGAAAATCAGGTGACTGAAGGTGTTCAACTATAGAGGTTCAACTGTACATGCAAAGTGCTTAGCAGAAGGCCGGGCTACCTCAAGGGCTCCATGGAGGGTGGTTATGACCGTACTGGTGGGGCTGAGCATTGGCGCTGGGGGCGATGTGTCTGCAGGCTTTGGGAATCCACCAGGTGCATGGCCTTTGTCCGATGAGGCCAGGGCCTGACCTCGGGGCTGGACCCTGTCTCCCTGCACTTGCTCATGCGCTCATGCTCACCCCTTCCGAATTCAGAATCTGAGGTGATGCCAGAGTGGGCTGGTGGGGAGATGAGGCCCCCAGAGGGTGAGGGAATCTGGATTTGAAGCCGGGTAAGCCTCACACCACCTGCCTGACTTACCTCAAGGACTGACTGTGAAGATAATAAGCGAAACAGCAAAAGTGGAGGCA